ATTCCATCTGCAGAGGTTGGGTCAACATGTTTTCTTAGGCGGCTCCAAATCCTCGTTAGGAGGGATTTTCATTATAAAATCCTGAGCGGCCACAAGAAAGCCACAGAAGCTCTTGGTCACGCTGCTCTCTCCGTGGTTGTGATCATCAAGCCAGGCAATCAACCACATTGTGTTCCCATGCAACAGATCTCATTCATATTGTAATGTTTCTTGAAGGGAATTCAAACCAGGAGCTCTCTCACTCTGGGTGCGAATAATGTGAGAAATGATAAAACAGCGCCGACTTGCATGTTATCAGACAACAAAGTGGTGCGGTCAACATCCTCTGGGCTGCTAGAGGTGGGGGGGGGTTGGTGTGGAGTAAATCAGCAGAAGCAAAAACAATACATAAACTGGTCCTTGCCAAATTACCACATTCTTAAACCAAAAACAAATCAGCACATTCTCAGTCCCAACCTCAGGCTGTCTTTATTTATTTATTTATTTTTCTTTCTGTGTTTCTTTTTTCTAGTTTGTATTACAGGTTTTTTGTTTATGTAAAAGTTTTGCAAAATTAAAAAGTCTGGTCTAAAGGGAGAAAACTCCTCCCCTGAAGCTCCTGAAACACAATCATTAGTCAAGCAAATACTTTTTGAATTTGAATTGGTTTATCATTCACAACAGAGTAAGCCTGTTGGCCAATCAGAGGAAACTAGGCTTTATTTGGAGGAGGGCCTGAAAGAGACCGGAGCTCAAACCAGAGGCTGATGGACAATATGAGGAAAGTGATGTGTTTACTGAACGAGAGCATAAACCTTTGGAAATGGAATATCTACAGCCTGACACACGCCTATCTACACTGTGAAATGCAAATGTGTGAGAAGGCTGAAGTGTGCACAAGCCTTGACATTTTTCTGTACACGTTTATGAAGGTTGTCATCAATAAAGAAATATCTGTAAGTAAAGCAAAGGCGAACAGACGTGTTGTAGATCTTTCAGCACTTTGCTGGAGTCCCTGAGGATACCATCAGCCTTTATTTGACTTAGCACCTATAGACATCCTATGTAACCTGGGTGACTGAGAATCTTCACAGACCTGTACGGAGCTGTCTCTCGCTGTCCTGGTGCCATAGCAACAGAGGCTGTGTTGGTTTATCTTCTCCGTTCAGAGGAAATGTTGAGGAGCAGAGATATCACCTGTTTCTGATGTTTCTCTCCTGCAACTGTGAGACTAATTCTACCAACACTTGGTAGAAGTGTTCACTCAGTCATATTTCTGTTTGCACAAGTGCATGCGCCTGTGTCTGATGAACACACGGTGGGAAATCCTGCTGCTTCCTAAAGTCTGAGCAGTCACCTCAGCAATTAGTCCGCTCCGCAAAAAAATAACAACTGTCTAATCTGATCCAGCCAGGGAGCCAGCCTCCTTCTTGTGACAGCATTTAGACTCATCTATCCCTGCAACAGCTTTTTACTTTTTCCCTCTCAGGTCTTTCTGCTCTCTCCATGTCTGCCATGCCCACTGGGGTGTAAAATTGAAATACGCAGAGCCAGACAACACAAAAGATATCAGGGATTTTGTTTTTTTCTGTCAGTCCATTGCAACCCAATAAAAAAATCATATTTTTTGTTTCTGAAATAAATTGCTCAGACACATACTGTAGCATGCCACTGTTGTCTCTGGGAGATTACATGCATTACGTTTTTTTCTTAGGAAGGCTTTAGCGGCTGATGGAGGTATTTCCATTTAAAATGTCATAAGCCTATCCTAATTCATCAGCGGTGCTGAGGCACAGCAGCTGCTGCGGAGTGTGTTTGAGATTCTTCTCACATTCATTGTATCAACTATTCATGGGCCGGCAGAGTGAGTTATTATGGTGAATGACAGTGCCGGGGTCAGAGGAGCGAGGCATCACAGAGAAATAGCAGAACATGAGCAAAGGATCAATGCTCAGAGCAAACAGAAGACATTGGTTTGTTTACAATCTCCAGCAAAAGACTGATGACAGCGTCTCCCTCAGCTTTCAGACCCTGTCTCGTTTCTCATTTTGATGCTCAAAGGAAACTGTAATCAAGTACCATTGTATATTCACATGCTATGTTCCCAAGAGCCAATCTCTTAGGAGCCCCTTCACAGTTTAGAAAAGTTTTAAACTCTGAATGAAGTGTATGTTTCATAACTTTGCACAGATACTCATTTTTTTTTTTTCATTTGAACATTATACCTGCTGAACATCAAAATGTTTGTAGGTTAGCATTTAGCTCGAAGCACCATCTGTCCATCTGTCTGGGCTCTCAGGAACGTCTGCAGGGAATTTCATCACAGCAGGTAAAAAATACTCTTTGCCCTGTATTCAATTCCTGTGTCTTCACTGTGTGTGGACACACATGGATGCAAACTCGTATATAACAACCATGTAGTGGGGATTTGAGTTTGTCTTTTTGCTGTTTTTTAGTTTCACTGAAAATGAATAAAATATGCAAATCCAACATGATTACTGTGTTGAAAGCTGAGAGATAGATATGTGCTCTTATTCCTGAATATATTTCCTCTTTTTCTGTTCCACCCAGCAAATCAACTGAGCTCATGCATTAAAATATGAAAGAAGAAACTTGTCTCATGTCAAAGTCTGGTCTATCAGTTTGCATCTCCTCAGGAGTATTTTAGAATTTCCAATTTCTCCAACATTGACCTCTGTTTTTGCCCCGAGAGCTTGAATTAAAAGCAAGCAAGGAGTGGAGGATGAGACAAGGAGAGCGAGCACTCAGACATTCACACATACACACACCTACACACACACACACACACACTCACTAAGATCCTCCTCTCCACAGTCCTGCTGTGCAGTTTCTATTTGGATAAAACTGAGCTGTCACAGAATAACAAGTGGAACAACAGTGGAGTCACACAGACATCCACTCACACGGGAGGAGACGGAGCCCACTTTGTTGTGGAGATAAGACGAGACAGTGCAGGACATCTGGTCCTGTCTGGTCATTGTGCTCTCCACCACATGCACTTCAGCTATTAAGGTCCAAGTGTTACCTGAGGCTAGTGTTGGGAAACTGTTTCCATGTAAACTGTCGGTGATATTAATGTTCTTTGTGTTAACAACTTAATCGTGTTAAAATGTTATATAAAACGTTTTATTTCTGTATTTGCCTACATTGTCCATCTGGTGGCATTGTGCATGTGTCACAAGGCAGCTTGTTGCATCTATTTCTGTAAAACTCGGTAGCCAAGGTCTAATTTGCCAGAGGCAGCTGGTTCTATCCAACGTCAGTTTAGCCATGCCACATTCTCATGCACGCTGTCTTCCCCGACAACATGGATTGATGAGATCCTTTGAAAAGCAGCAGGCGCACTCCTGGCTCTGAAATGTTCGTGCTGGCAGCGGCACTGCAGAAAGACAGGGCGCCAATGCCCATTTTAAAAATGACCTCCAGTAGCAGGGACATGATCATCATAAAAATGAATACTTATTAAAACTAAAAAGCTCTCCCTTCCCTTCTTCTCTCCTTTCTAGCCCATGCTGGCTTGTGTGTCTGTGTCCCGACTGGTTCCAGTTTCCCTCGTGGCTCAGCCTGAAAACATATTGCTTTCTTGTCATAGTGTCAAGCTTGACGCTGTGTATCACAAACGAAGTGCTCATTTATTGTCAGTTTTATCATCCACGGCCTAAGTGGAGGGACGCACGCACACACTGACAAAAACACTGACACAGTTACACATGACGCACCATTAAGAAAATTCACTACTTTTATATTCGTTTCTCAGACATGAATACAAGTGTGGATTTCTAAGAAGTGCCTCAGACGGATGTAATGGTCCATATCTTAACATAAAAAAAAGCTGTAAACAACACATTTCTGCAACACTTTGCATTTCCTGAGAATGGTCGTCACGAGACGTAAGAGGGGCGAAGTGTGAATAATCCAACCTCATTATGATCATTAAAAATAAGGACTCCTGCACAATGGCACAGGCTCAGGTCAAACACCAAGTCATGCGATAAATTCATGATAGAAGTGCAGCGTCATTTACTATATCTGAATGAATGTGGCAAAAATGATAAATACTGTTTCTGTCTATATGCATTTCGTTATTTACCACAGACTATTGCTAACACTCAAACAATCATTACAATAAGTGGCTTAATTTTCTTCTCACTTACATTTATGTTCCTTAGTTTTGATATATCACTCTGTTCAACAGAGCCTGAATCATTTCTTTTTTATATTATTATCGAGGCTATTTCTTCGATGTGAAAAATTCAAAAATATAAACATACAATAAAATATAATGTAAGGAAACAGACTGAGGTCAGGTGGAGACATAATGCAGGTTTTACGTCGCTGTTGTGTTACAGACTCTTGTCCAACAGTATTTTATCATAGTCAACTTCTCATAGACTACATTAAACACTTGCAGCTTTGCAAAACAACAAGTATTTTTGAAATCAGTTGTTTCATTCCTACAATTTCACATTAATTATTTTACTTTGCTACATTTAAAGTTGAAATTGTTATAGAGTAAGAACTAAAGTCACATGATGAAGTGATTCAATCTCTACTCGGATGGTTCGGAGAATCACAATAACTAAATGTTATAGTTTTCACTGGACAGCGAAAGATTCATCGTCTGAACAGATTCACAGCTGCTTCTTCTCCAAGTGAAAAAAAACATGTTTTGTGCAAAAACACATGTAGCTCACTTACACATAACACAGATATTCTCTGAGGATCCAGTTCTCATGCTTCACTTTAACGTTTATTACAGAGCGAAATACTGTAGATGTTCAATCACTGAGGACTTTGAGTAGAAAGTGGCCAATGCACAGCTTGTTCTTGGGTTTATTATTTACAAGGTTCATTTTCTTTAATTTTTCTTCTAGCTCTGCTTTGAAATGATTCCCAGCAGCTTCACATACGATGATGAAACTGTTTACCAGGGAGTAAACATGCCTTTCTCGCAAATAAGCCTGAAACTACAATGGCGTTGTAAATGCTCCTGTCACAACACAACTAATTTATTCTCCTCCGTGTAGCTACAGCACCTCAGACTCTCATTTCAGTCCAGCTGTGAGGTAACATCAGTGTAGTAATAAACAAAAACAACATATCCAAACACATCCGAAATAAAAAAACGACACGTTTACAGAGACAGTTTCTGTCTGTCACAGTTTGTGGTTCCATCATCAGTTCTTCTCAGTGTGTAGGAGGAAAGGTGTGGAGTGTGCACTGGTGCCGCATGTCAGCCGAGCGAGCCGAGTGTCTCAGCGCTGTCGAGAGAAGAGGTTCCTCAGGGCGTTGTTGTAGTTCTTGTTGAAGGCGGTGTATATGAGCGGGTTGAAGAAGGAGTTGGAGTAGCCAAGCCACAGGAAGATGCTCTTCCAGATGGGCGGGATGTCGAAGGAGCACAGCGGCACGATGAGCTCGGTGATGAAGAAGGGAATCCAGCAAAGCACAAACACGCCGATCAAAATGCCGACCATCAGCGCCGCCTTTTTCTCCTTCTGCTCGCGCCACGTGTCAGCGTCTGTCTGGAAGGTCACGGTGGCGTGCCGCACAGTAAACACCATCTGGGGCTGCTGTGTTTCCTCTTTCACCTGCAGCCCATCAGAGAATAGATCAGTCAGGCTATCGATTCAACGGTCAATGTGTCGAACCTGGTTCATATTAACAAGAGAAAGGGACTACTCTAACAACAAAGGCCCAAGAAAATCAGTTTCAGAAGGGAAATGCTGACAAATGATGGATTATATAGACTGAGGAGAAGTATGAATTGACAGGTGGATCAACAACACAGCATGAAGCCGGAGTCATGTCTTATTCTGCGTTATTTTCCCGCAGCCCATTTTGTGCCAATTCACAAACACACCGTGCAGCTGGGAAGAGGAAGAAGAGAATGTCAACATTAATCTGCTGACTTTCTCCTCTCGTGTTTTGTTGCCTAGCGCAGCTCGGGGCTGAATCGTTTTGTTTATCTGTCGAAGTCGCAGAGGTCACTTCGCCCGCCTGACAGCTTTTAAATGTCTTACAGCTCTGAACGTGTTAGAAATAAAGCACACAGACTGGTTCTCTAAAACCGTTGTGTTCAATATTTAAACAAGAGGCTGCATCAGGACAGAGCAACTTTTTCCCTTGGAAGGGAAATTTGTGTTGAATCCCGACTGATAAGATGGATGAAGAGAATCCATTTACAGAAGAGGCCAGAAGTTAAAAGCTCAGTGCTGTTGGGAAGGAGGTTTCAGATTCAACGGGAGGTTTATGACATCTCAACACGTATACACTAGTGGCTCCAGCCGCTAAAATAAGCACTTTACTGCAAATATGAGGTTTCCACCTGAGAAACTGAGACTCATCTTCAGTGACCTAGAGCTACATCTGTGGAGGAATGATAAATGGAGAAAACATTTCATATATAATTGGCAATTATTCTTAATTTGTCGTTATCAAACCCTCATGACAACGAAACGTTATTGAGGTTTGAGATTTTGCAGTTTAACCATAAACTCACACTTCATATAAATAACTATGAATAAAAAGAAAACACAAACAACCAAATATCGAGAGCTGGAATTAAGAAAATAAACATTTTAAATCAGTTTCTGACAATAGATCCTCCTCAATCCCACATTGAATCTTTAAAAGTGTTTCAGTCATCACGTTAGACACATGTATGTCATATGTTTAGGTCAGAAAACATGTAGCAGACAGACATCAGCCACCTGTAACATGAACCATTTCCTGAAACTATATATTTTTCAGAATGTAATTTGTGCAACCAGGCCAACAACCCATGCCTCATAACTCTAACTCTCCAGCGTGGCGAGTGTATGTGTGTGTATATATCTTAATGTCTTTGAGTAGGTGTTGTTGATGGATGAGTGCAGCAGCAGGTTTATTATCTCCGATGTTGATGCCACTGGTATTTTCACTGCTGACACTGTGCTGCGCTCGCCGCCTCGACTCGTCAATATACACTGTGAAATGATGAGAATAAACTTTGGCTGGGTAATCAGACACATTTCTTACGACCATAAGCTGCTGATATGTCAGCGGAAAGCAAAATTACCAATAAAACATATTCAACTTAATTGCTGTGGCTGCAAGAGTGATTGCCTGCATAATGAAACTTGACACAAAAGGGTCATTCTGCAGAATGGGTGTCATTCGCTTATTGCAATTCTTCGAAATTAAACTTTTTTTTTTTCTGAATCTTATAACACACATATTCACCTATTAAAAAGGAGTATCAGTCCATTTCTTTATCATATCTGTTGGTATAATTTATATTTATGACTAAAAGTCACTGTATTTGCACTCAATTTGAGCAGGGACTGATAAAGGCTGTCTTTCAGTAGGTTTGAATAAACTGTCTCAATCACACATCATAAAATTGCAATTAATTGGATGTGCAGGGCACTTTGCACACAGTTAGGTTCCATGCTTATTTATGCACAAAATATCCTGGGGATAGAAATGGCACCAATTCTGCGGAATGGCTCAAATTCTATTCTACCAAAGCAATTCAAAGACAACGCTAACTCACTTGACAATTGCTCCCTCTTGATCTTGTTCTCTAAACTCATGTTACACTTCCATGACTAAGAGGCGTCTTGAGGATTTTGGGAAAACTTCGACATTTCTGCATGACTTAAATGAAAATATATCTTCTGTAAAACACCTCCTCTTCTTTCCTCTCTGGATGTTTGCCAGATTTCCACAATGTTCAGACTCTTTCATAAGAAACCTTTCACAGGTGCAGTAAAAGAGATGTCTGCTCCGGGATGTCTAATCTCTATCATTGATTTGTTTTGGGAGGGAACTCAAATTACATTTCCCACCATAAAGGCAAGTGAAAAGTGGATGCAAACACAATCTTCACGGTGATGATTTCCCTGAATTAATGTTTTCTGATGCTCGAGGAATAGATCTCGACACTCCTGTCTGCTGATCAGAGAATTATCAAAGGCAGGAAGGTGCAGTGGCCCATTAATGATGTTGGAGGTGTATATTTATAGACCTCAACCTACGCACATTAGCAAACGGGTGGTGATGAGCAGGATGGCTTTGATTATTTGTCCGTATGCTCATAGATCAGATGCTCATGTTTCCCTGATTACTGCTGAAAAGCTCATCATCCAAAATAAAGAATAATTGCAGTGTTTGTGGGTCAGGGGTATCAGCCAGTTGCAGGAGGAGAAACATGCATCATTTAATAGAGGAGTGGGAGGGTAATGATAATGCGACTCACAGGGATAAGGGGTTATTTTAAGAAAATGCATTTCTAAAAGAAAAGAACAAGTATAATCACCTCAGCCATGGGTGTGATTGTGTTGTTCTTGCGGGAGCCAATCCGAAACTTAGCCGCCTTGTAGATCTTCCAGTAAACAAAGAGCACCACACACAGAGGAAGGTAAAACGCTCCGAAGGTGGAGAAGATGGTGTAGGACGGCTCCTGGCTCACCTGGCACTTCATGCCCTCTGAGTACGTCTCCCCCCAGCCGAAGAGCGGCGACAGGGAGATGATAGAGGACAGCAGCCAGGTGAGCGCGATCATCACGTTGGAGATCTTTTTGCGCGTCTTGAGCGTGTACTCCAGGTGCCTGGTGATGGACCAGTAGCGGTCCAGCGCAATGGCCGTCACGTTCCAGATGCTGGCCGTGCAGCAGAGCACATCGAAGGAGATCCACACCTGGCATAGCACACGGCCCAATTTCCACAGGTGGCCATTCAGCTCGTGGACGAGACTGAGAGGCATGACCAGGGCGGCCACCATCACATCGGAGATGGCCATCGAAGCCACGAGGTTGTGGGGGACGCGGTGGAACGTCCTCACCCTCAGGATGGTCACCAGCACCAGCAAGTTCCAGACGAAGGTGGCCACCACCAGCATCGCCAGTAAGGTAAGAGTGAGCACACTAAAGACGGAGAAGGGCCGGTAAATGTTTCCCCCGGAGTCATGGCTGTCCAGAGTGCCACTGAAGTTGGCCGTCAGTATGCTGGTGTTGGGGTAGGTCATGGTAGCTGCTCACCGCCCTGCAGCCGAGGGCCAAGACGACTCAGAGACACTTTCAGCAGACAGTTGATGCATTCTGCAGAAAGAGAGGAGACAGAAGGATGACACTGTTTTAATATGCCCGCAAAGTTTTCTCTTTAATGTCTAAAAACATTATGTATTCACACATTTTATTAAACTCGACGATATATTCTCACATGAATGAGGGTTTACGATGCCATTCTTACAAAAAAAAGAATTGGCTTTTACTGTGTAGTGCAAATGTGCCGGTGTCGTTCACCAGAGAGGTGGTTTAGTGATTTGCTCACAATAGTAAAAAGCACTTGAGTTTCTCATTTCAGCTGTCAAGCAACCTGCCCACAACTTTCAAGTGCAATTTCATCTGCTGTTAAAAGGGCTCTAAAGAACGCTGTGACATCTCTGTGCCTGGAAAAGACCATAAATATTCAGTTTCATCATCCCACTGCTGTTCTTTGATTTGCATCAAAGTCAAGCTTCCAATGCAAAAATTAACTGTTTTAAGTGGAGTCTTTGTTGTGCGCTCATTTGGGAAAGAGAACCCCTCCCCGTGAGGTTTTATCGAGTTGGATGTTTTTAAATGTTTTTTCATTCTAATTTGCGAGTGTCCGTCAGAGAGAAACTATGTATTAACATCGGATTGTCTCGGTTTCAGGCTCAGAGAAGAAAAGATTTGACATGCCAGCTCTGTCGATATATTCACAGCAGCGGCTCAGTCTACGCTTCACAATGTTCAACAGTGCAGAGACGATAAAGCTCAAATCCCAACCCACTTCTATGGTTTGTCGACTGGATGTCGAAGCTCTGTATTGATCTTTAGAAAATTACAGCTTCTGTATAAAGTGGCAATTAAATAAACAATCTATTCTACAACTCCAGCTGCCACGTCAGCTGTGAATAGAATCATGTAACTTAACATTAGAAACCCATCATTTGGTCCTGAATACATTGTTATGATAATTATTATTCAAGAAATCGTTTTCAGTAGCATCACTGGGGGAAATCAATGATTTCATGCATCATGTTTTGGAAAATACGCTCAGTTGTGCCTGGTTTAACAAGGTCCTGAGTTCATTTTAATGTTGATGATGCTAATTCTAATCATTAATCATAGTTTATCATTTGTAAAAACCGAGTTTTGACCTCCCCTTAAAGGGATAGGAATGAAAGTTCACCCATTATCTACCCACCGCCATGCCGATGGAGGGGTGGGTGAAGTGTTTGAGTCCACAAAACACTTCTGGAGTTTCAGGGGTAAACAGCGTTGCAGCCAAATCCAATACAATTGAATAAAGTGGGGACTGATTCTTCAAACGTAAAAAGACAACAGAGAGAAAAACATAAAATGCCTCAAATACTCATGTGGTGTCATCCAAGTGTCTTTAAGCCTGACATTCAAATTCAACTCCATACTGCATTATTGACGCCATGTTTTTAGTCGAAATGTCCGCTGTGTAAATGGTGTAAATGACAGTACAGACACTTGGATGACACCACACGAGCAGTATGAAAGCATTTTATCTTTGTCAGCTGCAACGCTGTTTACCGCTGAAACTATAAAAGTGTTTTGTGGACTCAAACACTTCACCCACCCCTCCATCGGCATACGGGTGAGTAGATAATGAGCGATTGTTCATTTTTGGGTGAACTATCCCTTTAAGACCAGTTCTTCCAGGCTATTTAAAAAAACACCCCACAGTTTCTTACCTTGACCCAGAGTTTTATCTTGAATCTTAAATACAATCATTCATTTTCCATAGTTCCTCCTGTGACATTGTCATGAGGGGATGTGGATGTCTTTCACAGGCCTCCGAGCACAGTGCAAGTGTCCATAATGAGTTCAGCTTATTCACATAATTCAGCTGAAATAACTGCTACTAATTGAGTTTCCTCTATGGGATCACGCTCTTGCAGCCGCTTTGGCCCCTAATGACATTACTTGTGTTACTGAGGCATCATTCTATCCGATGAATAAATCAATCAGATGTAATCTGAATTTACAATGACATGTTGATTTTTCTGCCTCTGAGAGAAATAAAAAGTTCCTTGTGAATGCTTTATGTGTTTTTACAGCCAGTGGGTTGTGTCAGATTGATCTGCAGGTTATCAATCACCGGGCTCCATCAATGATTCCCGACGGGCAATAGCAATATGAGCCATGTCCGTGCTAGCCGCTGCATTTACAGTATGTGTGATGTGACACTGGCTCCAAGCATCACAAACTGTGCCCTCTAATCAAAGGGTCCAGCCGAGCACACAGACAGGCCCCTCCGCTCTCTCTTCTCCCCGCTCCTATTAACAAGCCTAATAGCCATGAAATTGGACAACCGTTGTTGGGCAATCAGAAGTGCGGCTTTCGGCAAAGGCAACCCTACTGTTTCTCCGCTGCAGGCCAGGTTTCTCGGTTGTGAAAGAAAAGACGCACAATGCACGGAGGTGCAGAGGAAGACGTGCTAATGCACTGTATATATGTATGAGTGAGGGGAGTGAGGAGGAAGACAGTGATAGGCAGGAAGACACGTCAATAGAAAATGGCTGAATGATTTGAAGTGTAGAGGGTTTTCTTTACACAGATGTATGAGTGACGTGTCGACTCAGGTCAGAGGTTGTCTTCAGACCTGCAGGTTCCCTCTGGGACTTTGTGTGGCTTAGAGTTAACTGAGAATTTACACAGGGGCAGAGGGCAATTAACTTCTCATCTGAAGCTCTGCACTCTTCTGCTTCTCAGGTGACAGAGGTGACGATGGTGTTCGTTCTGACAAAGAAGGATTTTCCTGTTCCTCCCATCATCATTTGCAAATGATTTAAATAACTTAATTCCTCTCTGAGCTTTGTTCTGAGCCCTCATGCTGCACCAGATGCTGCAGAAATCAAGCATCACTTATTCTCAGGCAGCCTTAAACTGAAATTGCATGTTTGGAAAATGAGGTTTTCTTTGCTCAAATTATTTATCGGTCGGAATTTTCATGTTATTCGTCGGAGCTTTGATTGTTCTTTGATTGTTTTGCAAAGAGCCTGCTGGTAAAAAAAACCTCTTTCCAACACAGCTCTGAATAGTTGCCACATGCAGAATCAGGTAAAAAAGTACAACATCTCAACTTCTTTTCTTTCTTTGTGTCCTAACCCACTGTCTCAACCTCGCTCTCCATTCAGTTCTTACACAATTTCAGTTTTCTTTTTCTCCCCCGAGTTTGACATATGAAGCTGAAGGGACGGGAGCTGTGTGGAAGGGTCTTCATGAAACAACATAAAGCAAATGGAAATGTAATGGAGAAGCATTCAGATGTATACTTCATGTGTGGTTTGGTGCAATATGTTCAGATAAAAACCATCCAGCTCATTGCAACAAGCAAAAGTACATGCACACATGCTTTATTCAGAAAAAGAGTTAGTAATCAGAACAACAACTTTTCAATATGCATGGTTCCCCCTGGTGCTCCCTTAATGTCCCATGAGGATCCCTGTCTGCGCTCGTCTCTGCGCACACATGATCATCAGCCGAGACAATTGTTGCACAAGCATCTCAGAAAACGCAGCCTCACTTTTATAAACCCGCATCTGCAAACACGATCTCATGTGTGGAGAGAACTCACCCCGTCGACAGCTCGGTGTGAAGCGGTCCCGCACCGGAGGAGCATCACCTCTCCAGCGACATCCTCCGCTGCTGCTGCTCTGTCAGAGGAGAGAGTGAAGCGCCTCAGTGTCGATGGCAGCACAAACACACTGAGGGTACACACACACACACACACACACAGAGGAGCCGCTGGAATGAACCACACACTGGTCTGAAGGGGGAGCCTGAGTCCAATTCACATTGTGAAGACTGCGTTTTGTGGTTCATGCATTAAAGGGGGACTTGCGTGCGTATTTCGTGCGTATTTGTGGCGTGCGCAACAGCTTGGTCTGTGAGAGGCGTGCAGTGCAGGAGCAGACAATGCCTCTGTCTCTTCACACTCGGTAAAAACGTTGCCTCCTTCTGATCAGTGTCATTCTGCAGTGATGTTCAGGGGCTGCTGGTGCTGGAGGAGGACGAGGAGGAGGAGGAGAAGGTGGAGGAGGAGATCATCCTGCTGCTTTGTGATGGATGATCCCTCCACATATCTCCCCTGTGGAACTCCCCTGACATTTCCTCCATGTCTCTCCAACATGATTAATGCTTATTTCTGTTCAAATATAATTTATTGGCCATATGCACAACTTTAAATCAAGTTTCTTCAGATTGTTCAAAATTTGAAATTGAATGAGTAAAATATATTTACGTAAGGTTGACTCAATGTGACAATGACTGTGTACAGGATGTTTGCAGAACACCATGAACATCCTCCCTCCCCTGTACGTACAATATTCTACATACAGCATACTACTGTGTGTGTTTGTTAAATAGTAGTAACACCTGACAATATTATGCAGTATAATGAAGTATGAAAGTATAGTTTCATGGTCTCGTGAGATGTTGAGTACAAAGGCTCCAGTGCTGTTGTTTTGTATTACAATTGGTTTCTGTTGTAACAAAACATATTCTCTTGCATATATGTTTAACCAGAATGACACTCAGACAAAGAGCTCAAACCTCCTTCCAGATAACATACAGACTTGGGTCACTTCAGGCACATTGAGTGCGGCACTTGTGTTCGTCTTGTGACCCATGCAAAATGGACGTGAGCCTAAAGTGGTCCACTTGTAAAACAGCAAATGTGGCCTGAGTATATCCCAACATAAATGTGAGCCTTTTTTGGGGATAACGTGAGAAGCTCTCAGCAAGGTGTAATCTTGATGTGAACCTAAAGTGGCTGTATGTGAGATGTGAGACAAATCTGCGGTAAAACATTTTGTGTTTGTGGGCGGCCCAGGCTCAAAAGTCCCCTGAAATTCCATCAAGCTGCACCAAATGGCACAAACAGAAATCAATACCTACAATATAAATTATTGATTTATCTGTAAATAATCTATATTTTTTACTTGGTATCAGTACAAATGCCAAAAACAGTTTATTCCTGCAAAGATGTGTTTCTTTGTCCTTTTTCCCCATGACCTGACATTTCTGCAAAGCACTACCATCAGATTTGGTATTTATCTTTTTCTCAGAGTAGAAAATCAAACCTTTACTTCCCCTGCAGTGTAATCATTCCTTTTAGATTTCCGTTTTGTCCAAAAACAAAAAGCATTTTCCTTTGTTCTCAGCTGTGTTTTGTGTCAATCATCAAATGTTAGCAAGTGAATCTTCCCAATCGCTGTTTCTTGCAAAAAAATACAATTCCAATCTCATTATGTATTGACCATATGCACAACTTATAATCACATTGTGTTTGAATATCCAGTGGGATGCTTTGTCCTGAGAAAACCTCCCTGCATGTTACATTTAATTAAATCATCACCTTCCTGCAGGGAGAGACCAGAACACCGTGTGACTGTTTAGCAAACCATCTGTCCACTCAAAAATTGCTTTAAAGATGTTTTGATTTCGAAAAACAAAATGATCTCTCCTATTAATGTTAATCACTTTCCTCGTCAACAGACTTGTAGCTGTATAAAGAGAAGGGACGGACTCGGGGGAGGCTGATCTTAAAAAAGATCTTTAATTCCTATCAGACTCTCAACTGCCAGCCACTCACTGTGATGGTAATGACATCCAGCTGTCCTATAACACAGGCTGATGCAGCACCAATACCCCGACTGTAGACTGGCTGTTTAGTATCACATACGCACAATGGGGCCCTACAGTAAGTGATAGTAAATGAAAAGCCGTATAAAGTTGTTGTTGCAGCTCCACGATCGACACCACGGGGGCTTCATCATGAACTAATCGTTGGAAATCCTGTACAACTTGCACGTTAACAGCCCTCTGCATGCATGTACCTGGATTTCAGCTAATGCAAATGTCATCCGCACCCACCAGCCACCTCCTTTACCTCAGCCACCTCTGAGGCTGCCGTGAGTGTCTATCTAATTGTTGCCTGTGCTAACACTCACTTCCCCCTAATCCCTGGGATTTGTTTGAAACATCTGCTTGAGGAGGGTGAGTGCATCTGATTAAGTAACCATGAAATATGCAGCTGCACGCAGGTTGGAGTTTATCACATCACCCCCCCCCCCTTCCCTTTCTCAGGAAAAATCTTTACGTAGCAGTGGTACCCTTCACCTCCTCCTCCTCCTCCTTGAACTTCCTGTTACAGGTGATGCTGATGCACAAAATCAAATCAGCTCAGCAGTTGCTCGTGCAGCAGCTGCTCAGCAACCTGTCTTGCAAAAATTGTTTCACGCTAATTACTGGGCTATAAAGGCATTATTGCAACCAATTTGAAGTGTCAGTGCAAAGCGGTCCCTGATTAAAACAGATGACATACTTGCGCTTCCAGCTATTTACTCTCCGTGCAGCACGGATGAAAGTACACCGCAGTTAGCTTAGATGAAAGCTCTGGAAGGTCCCACATCGTGTTGCTTTGTCTCAGTTTTTGCACAGAAAAGAAAAAGTGTGAGCAGTAATCAAGCTTAGCATTTCACTCTGTCACATTGCGCAGATGCATGCGTCTTCAATTCCTCCCCTATGTTCCCTTGTTCAAGGCAATGAAAGGTGGGGGTTTTTTCCCACTGGGCACATTTCTGTAAATCACATCCCTGACCTTGTCCCGCCAGACCGGTTTCATCCCCATAAATAGCCGGTCATCAATTATTCCTATCACAACCAGAATTTAACACTGTCAGCAACTATTACCTTATGTCACTGCTCCTGGAAAATGACCAGAGAGAGAGAGAGGGAATAGAGAAAAAAAATGTGATGCAGTCTTGGATCAGGGTCGTTTGCTGATAAACCTGCCACATAAATCCAGTGGTTCCACTTGGAACTGCTGTAATCGTGCAATGATTGATTGAATGTTGAACACAGAGAAATGTTGTGTTTCACTTTTAATGGGCTTTCTGTTTGCCCTGTGATCACATGAAGGTCACATGTGAGCCGTATGTCTAGATGTGTCGAAGCCCTCGTGGAGAAACCTGGTGGTGGAGCGGTGACACGAGTTATTGACTCGTTCAGAGACTTAATTGGTTCCGAATATAATAGAGAAGAGCAGCCGGCGGCCACTTTGTGTAACTGTAGTGTTGTTAAATATTCAGTAGAACAATATGTGCGTTAAATGCAGATTTAAATACCCAAACCACAAAGATCCTATGAGGTAACCATCAATAAAGTGGAGGGCTAAATGTGAAAAAGGCAAATTATTTAAACATGAACCTGCACAAAGTCCTCCTCTGTTCCTCAGACAAGGTTGATACTGTCAGGCTCCACTGTCACTCGTCCTTGAACATTAACGATATCTGTCTGCACTGTACCACCCACACCTAATTACAGCATGGCAGTGTGTCAGTGTCGCTTGCAAAGCAGGAGTAGGTTCCAACAAGCAAGGTGTCAGGGCGTGATGTGCTGAGGCAAGCAGCAACGGCCCCGGTGCATGAAAGGAGAGAAGGAGTCATTCAGTGACTTGGGAAGACGGAGGAGTGGAGGTCCCGTCTGACAAGCCGACACAAGCAGGCAGCAGAAATTCCTGAAAATCAACAAAATGCTCCAAAATTGTACAGAATGTGTAAAAGGTGTGTTCGTAAGGTTGATTCAGTGTGAAAGTATAAATCAGCAAAAATGTATCTCGCAATGTTAAATAAAGATTCGTCCATGACCTGATTGAATATACATGTTTTAATAAACACCTCATGAAAAGAGACTTCACATACATTTTCTTTTAGTCTTATATATATAAATCTTAATATATAATAATGATAATATGATATTTTTATTACACTGGCATGTATAGCTGCTGTATAGCTAAAATTGACACAGGCACAAACACTCACATCTTTCTTTGACTTGTGACTTATATCAGACTCCTCTCGATCTGAACGTTTACTCTTTATTTCCTCTCTTAAGTTGTCGCTGATGATCACAGTCTTTCATTCCATCTCTTCAGATGCTTTTCAGGTGAAATTGAGGACGGAGGTTTGTGCAGCAATCATTTTGACAAAAATTGCTCTGACCCCTGCCTGGTACCATGAACTCTCCGAGAGTGGGAGTACTGTAGCCGGCTGCTATGTTACTGGATTTTCAAGATGCTGTAAAAGATAGAATGAGGCTCCTGTTTTCTTATTGTAAAGTTTCAGGCTATATGATGTGTTGTTGTCAGCATTGCTGTCAGTAAACAAACTTTTGTTTTTCATGATTCCTCACATAAACTAGACTGACTCTGATGTTTGTTGTTTTCCCCTCGTGGTCTGAACTCATATCTGTCCATTTAAATGTGGAATTCAAATATATGTATTGCATGTGAGAGCAGAAAGGATTTCTTGTCTCTTTCTTGAGTTTTGAATTGCAGATGACACCTTCGGTCTAATTCTCACCTTTACAGAGATGACACATCGAGCGCAAAGTATTTTTAAAACACTGTGCTTGAATCGGTCATTTAACTCCCGGAGTGAGCGGCATTTACAGACGTTTGTCAAAACATGAATCCACGATTCTTTTCCCTGAAATGAACCTGAGAATCTGATTGTTCCACATGATTTTGTCATTATCTCAAATAAGGCCTTTAATTCAAGTGGTTAAATGCCATTTTTTATAAGAGTGTTTTTCTAAGCATCGCAACTGCACAATTACACTTATTGCAATTGTTCGACACAATAATCTCCTCTGTATTCATCACTTTAAAGCGTCAAT